CAGTAGGATACTATATTCGACCAATGGAAAATAATTTTCTAATTCACTTACGCTCAACCGTGGAAAATCATATATATTTAAAGATATTTTATTATAGTATATAGCCCATAAAGAACATATTAAAGATTGTTTCAAGCACCTGTGATTTAAATGAAAGGAAAATACAAGAAGAAAATTAATATGAATATAAAATGTACATTTTGAAAATATTTGAATATATTTATTTATATTTGAAAACATTCATTTTATTCTAATTTTAGAATTAAATTAAATTACACTAAATGGTCATATATGGAAATATATATACTGAAGAAATGTAATCAGAATATATATTTGATATTTTGCATAGTCGAGGTGAAACAAGCACTTGTTTTTTCTACGGTCTACAACCAGATTCTACTTTATCGCAGTAGTTTTCCTTTTTGGACATTTCTGGTTTTGTCATTTTTACAAGTTTAGGTAATATATTTGTCCAAAAGTGATAGCCCCTCTCAAATAACCGCTGCCCGACCGACATGTCTCTACTAATGTTAAGATATAGTTGACTCTCTAACTTGTATTCAGGCCATTCCGTGTTAATGCGTTCCGGCTTGTTTGGGTCCCTATTTAATAAAAAAAAGAGAAAAACATGAAAGAGACTACTAGTATAAAAGTGTAGCTTTTCGAATAAATCTCAGCTCAAGTGTGAAAAAAATTAATACAAACATGTGAAAGTTGTTCTTATTATTAATTATTTTTTGGCTATGTTTATCGGCAAATGAATGGCAATTAAATTAAACAAAAAACTAATTAGTTTAATCAAATAAGTAATAAATATAGATAACAGAAAATTTAAAAGGCAGTAATATGCTTTACCCGCTTTTTGCGAAATTTGTCCACATTTTGATTACTTCTTTTGACATTTCAATTTCCCATTCCTGTGGTTCAACACCATATGGAGCTGTTGCGCTTGTATATCCGGTCTCTGAGTCATACCCTAAAATAAACGCCCACTCGTCACCATGTACCGACCCACCTTTCCGCGTGGGTGGTACCCACAGAATATGTTGGGATGACAAAGCATTTAAAAGGAACAAAAACGTTTTTTTGCCATGATTATTTTCAGCATGTACACATATTCTCTTTAAAATTTCGAAAAAAATGTATAAGTTTAGTCAAACAAAAGATTGTTTTTGTTAATTTTGTGTAAGAAATTGAAGAATGGGAAGTTTCTATAAAGTATATAAAAAGTTTCAAATCTAATATTTTGAAGAATTAGATGCGGATTTATCACACTTATAAAGGTATTTAACTCTATAACGTATAAGAATTAAAAACAAATTAAAGCTATACTGTAGGAGAAAGACCTCAGGTGCCTACCCCTATTTTCAAAATTGTTCCAGGACAAACGGGCATCTGAGTACGGTAAGCTAGCTTTATAGCGGTATGTCTATCGTAAATACGCTTTCCAAACAAAACTCTCATTTCAGACAATTAGAGAAAATTCAAGTGTATTTTTTCATCATGTAAGTTATTTAACGTTTATGTTTCTGCTGGAAACTTGTTTTTGAATGGAGAAAAATGACATGGGAAAGTTAAAATTCAAATAAGATCAAAGCGCTGAAAACACTGAAAAAGACGGAAAAAGGGACATCGGGTAACATATTTTTATTCAAGTTTCACATGTAAATAAATTCTATACGTCAGAGTATACGTCTTAATAAACGGTATACCTACGATTTATTTGAGATTTCTGCTCTTGAAAAATATCTATATCCTGACAAAGAAGATTTTGTCTTTTTTAAATCATTTTCCAAACTGTCTGGTGTACCTATTTTTTTAGAGTTTACATTAAAAATTCCATGGAAAATTTCTTAAGAGGCCTTTAGCGTTTGATTACGGTAAATATATATGTAGTATGACTGGAATACTGAATTAACTCTTATTTGTCTTTAACTGTGACACTTTTTGTGTTTACAATACCAAAGTATGTAGCTCTTGAAAATTTTGACACCACATCTTGTATTACCAAAACAATTTACAAAGGCTTTTATCTGATAAAGCTTCGAATAACGAGTACCATGCGCCATATCTCCAGAACATGCATCAAGTTACCGTAGAGTTATCTGTGAAATATTCACCTACAGTAATATTCTTTGAACATGATAAATATTCAGGGCAATAACAGAGCCATAACTCCGTGTTAGATAATAATATCTGAACATGCCAATGAGATGTAAATTGCCTTTTTGTATCAATGTTTCCCATAAACAATACAGCAGTTGCATAGAAATAGCAGTATTGCTCTATATGCATACGACATAACTAATCAAGGGCCATAAGTCTGTAATGAATGGTCTGGTCTGAACTAGGCTACAAATTGTGCATATCTCCACTTGGTATTAATGGTTACAATAAAGTTTAATTAGTTGCAGCCATTAGTTGCAGAAAAGTAGCGCAGAAACAATTATTGTTCTATATGCATACTGCATAACTAATCAAGAGCCATAACTCTGAGCTAAAGTGCCTGACCGGCACAAGGCGATGATATGTGCATCTCCTCTTTGTATTGAAGGTTCCCATGAAGTGTGTCCTATATACAAAATGCATAACTAATCAAGGGCCATAACTCTGAGTTAAAGGTCTGACCGGAGCAAGCCGGCGATATGCGCATCTCCTTTAGATATTGATGACTCCCATAAAGTTTCGTTGAACTCCAGCCAGTAGTTGCAGAGAAGAAGTTCGGAACGATTTTTGCTCTACATGCATACTGCAAAACTAATCAAGGGCTATAACTCTAAGATAAAAGGTCTGACCGGAACAAGTCGATGATATGCGCATCTCCTCTTGATATTGATGATTCCCATAAAGTTTAGTTGAAGTCCAGCCAGTAGTTGCAGAGAAGTAGCGCGGAAACGGTTTTTGCTCTATATGCATACTGTTTAACTAATCAAGGACCATAACTCTGAGTTTAAGTGTCTGACCAAAACAAGGCAACAATATGCGCATCTCCTCTTGGTATTGAAGGTTTCCAGAAAGTTTGGTTGAATTCCAGCCAGTAGTTGCAGAGTAGTAGTACGGAAAAGATTTTTGCTCTTTATGCATTATGCATAACTAATCAAGGGCCATAACTCTGAGTTAAAAGGTCTGTTTGGAACAAGGCATTGATATGCGCATCTCCTCTTGATATTGATTATTCCCATAAAATTTGGTTGAATTCGAGCCAGTGGTTGCAGAGAACTAGCGCAGAAACGAAATTGGACGGGCGGATGGACGGACGTACTTACGAAATGGTACTTATGTGACTTTTCCTTTGATATTTTTAGCCATTTTTAGTCACACAAGGCTTAAAATAAGACACTCAAGTAAAAACAGATATTTAAATGAGTCCTATAATGTATTCATAATTGACAAGTCATTTAAACCAGACTATACTGTTATGAGATCCGATCACAATGGTAACAGGTGATTCAAGTTCGAAGTGAGAGGGCAATGACAATTGCTTTACTTTTATACTTTTGAAGATTGAGCTTATCACTTGTTAATCTAACTTTGCTAGGAAAATATCATAACTTCAAATCTTTAATAAAATAGGTTACTAGTTATTCGAATTGACAGAGTCTAAGTTATTCAGTCAATTATTTTTAAACTATATTTTATTAAAGATCCTGTATGTTGTAATTAAGGTTGTTACCACACTTAAATGAAATTTTATATATGTATATAAGTATTTCTCTAAAACAATTTTCAAACATCGAAGAATATATAATATATGTACTGCAAATATTTGTCCACATTAAATGAAATCATTAAATATATGCATTCATTTCTTGTTGAAAAATTTGACTTAGACTTTATAGAAAAGAAATTTCTACTTACCTCCCTTTATTTACATGAAATGTGAATTCAGTAATATCTTTACAAATAATGCTTTTTGGAACTAACAATATTGTTAAATCTCCATTTGAGCATTACATTTATGTTATATAACCATAAAAAATGAGAAACAGGATTTATAAATGCGTTTTAATGAAAGATTCCTTCTCCCCTATCATATAATATTTATGAATTTGTTTCAACGAAAGCATATATACCTTTTTCAGAAATCTTTTTAACTGGTTTTCAGTATCTTCATTCAATGTAAATTCAGCAACATATGAGGAAATTACTTCGATGCAAAAACATAGTTTTCTTGCTGAAATCTTTCCTTAGTAAAAGTATGGATTTACATTACTTGCGCTTATAAAAAAATAGATATTATTGTACAGTACATGGCCACTGGATTTAGTTTAAAGTTACATTACACTTTGGTCATGATTTATATAACTGTTATATATATCACAAATTCATAAAAAATACATCTCTTTCAGATGAAACCTTACAGGAAAAAGACAACAACAACAACTGCTGGTTCCTGTTGCGCAACCGTTCCTGGAAACTCCCCACTGAAACAAGCAATGCAACAGTGGTAGACAAAAAACCTCCACAAAAGAAACAAAAACGGTTCAGCAGTGCAAATATAATCCCAAGGGAACCAACAGATGAAAGCCAGGTGCTGAGCAAGTGGAAGTTATGCCACCACAAGAACAGATTCTGATAGATGAGGGAAATCAGAATCTCCACAGCCATGTTCAAGTTGGGGTACGGATGCTTTGCCAAGAATTCAGTAGAAAGCGACTCATCATCTGTATCAGAATCGATGAAGATGACATTACATTCATGCCAAATATTCATAATGTCATCTTACAACATAGCCAGGACTTACTAGCAGGTAATTGTACTGGTGTAACTCTCCAGGAACGATGGTTAGGAAACTACCCGCCTATATGACTGAAATACTGTTGGGAAAAGGCGTAAAATGAAACAAACAAACAAACAAACATTCTAACGTAAGAGGAACAACGTTAAGTTAAACTGTCTACAAAGCGCAATAGGTGTATAAGCGGATGTATACAAAAAACATGACTTTCTTATTAAGAATAGTACATCACAAACTTTCTACTCTCTCCTGAAGCGCATAAATGAACGGTCCAGTAGTCGGAACGGGTTGAATGTTTGTAAGAAACAGTTTTGAATTTTAATTCAATGAAATTAATTTTCGAAGTGTTCAAATATTTGTGAACGTTTCTACGTTTAATTGTCGGACATTTATTTATAAGTTTTTCATAATGTCTTCTGGTCCATACAGCTACCAGACAGGAACTTCAAAAACATTCCATTGGGCGGATTACGCTGTTTTTGGTACAACATTAGCTATCTCTGCTTCAATCGGACTTTTTTATGCAATCAAAGACAGAAATAAAAACACCACAGAGGAGTATTTACTTGCAGGACGGTCAATGCATCCACTGCCAGTTGCGATGTCATTGCTGTCTAGTTTTATTTCTGCTATTACAATTCTTGGAACGCCAGCGGAAGTGTATGTGTACAGCACAATGTACTGGTGGATCTCGGTGGCATTTATTATCACCGCTATAGGAGCGGCTCATATTTTTATCCCGGTCTTCTATAACCTCGGTATCACCAGCGTGTTTGAGGTACGTAGTGTCTTTCTACGAGTATATGAATCTCAACAACACACGCACACTCGCACACACAATGACGTGCACGCATAGGCACTTAAACACACAACACACGCACACTCGCACTCACAATAACGTGCACGCATAGGTACTTAAACACACAACACACGCAATGACGTGCACACATAGGCACTTAAACACACAACACACGCACACTCGCACACACAATGACGTGCACGTATAGGCACTTAAACACACATCACACGCATACTCGCACACACAATGACGTGCACGTATAGTCACTTAAATACAAAACACACACACACTCTCACACACAATGACGTGCAGGCATAGGCACTCAAACAGAAAACACAAACACAATCGCACACACAATTACGCTATAATTATTATTTAAATCTTTCTCGATTAAGTAAAAAATTTGTGTGGACAGCCCGGTATAAATAATATAAGGTTTATATATCACCCTTAAGATATGTGGCCTGCTTTTTAAATTTGTCTTTTGACGTCATATCTGTGAAATGCAGGCTTCATAACCTCAGATCCCCTTTCAAAATTCCATTTTATTTAGTTCCGCCCATTGTTTTCTCGTTTAAGGCACACTTTTTTCACTTGGGGACCATATGCCGCTTGTCATGAAATGGCACTAACGTGTCACATTGAGGGTTCCATGAACACATCTGCGGATGGTTCAAAATTTTAATTTTTACCAGTTCATATTAAATGTTGAACTCTGCTTAAGCCGGTGCTAGGGGCGTGGACGGTAGTTTGCACTTTACAGTACTGTCCATGAACAGGCTCAATCAAACCGAGTCTGCAACATTTTCAATTTTGCCGTGTTGGGCTTTCTTTAGGGATTCTTATTTCTCTCTATTTTATTTGGGTCATTAATGTGCGTTTTAACAAAATAGATGAATACAGAATCCCTAAAGAAAGCCGGCAAAATTGAAAATGTTGCAGGCTCGGTTTGATTGAGCCTGTTCATGGACAGTACTGGAAAGTGCAAACTACCGTCCACGCCCCCTAGCACCGGTTTAAGCAGAACTCAACATTTAAACGTGAAATAGTAAATTTTTGAATTTAGAAACATCCGCAGATGTGTTCATACGGCGGTTATCATGGAACCTTCAATGTGACACTTCCGTGCTATTCCATGAAAAGCGGCGTATGGTCCCCAATTAATAAAAAGCGTGTGCCCTAAACGAGAAAACAATGGGCGGAACTAAATAAAATGGAATTTTGAAAGGGGGTCAGAGGTTATGAAGCCTGCGTATCACAGATAAGACGTCGAAAGACAAATTTAAAAAGCAGGCAACATATCCTAAGGGTGATTCAACATTATTCAAGTAGGAATATTGGAACCACCCAACTAGAAAATGCCGAAAAGTTGAAACTAAAAATACCACAAGCACAACAATAATGTCGTGCTAAACGATCTTCAAGGATCGAAAATATAACATCATTGATTAAATGTACGGGGAGACCTTTTACAGCCGCCACACGGCACAAATAACACGGATGTGATCATAAAATAGATGAATACAGAATCCCTAAAGAAAGCCCAACACGGCAAAATTGAAAATGTTGCAGACTCGGTTTGATTGAGCCTGTTCATGGACGGTACTGGAAAGTGCAAACTACCGTCCACGCCCCCTAGCACCGGCTTAAGCAGAACTCAACATTTAAACGTGAAATAGTAAAATTTTGAATTTAGAAACATCCGCAGATGTGTTCATACGGCGGTTATCATGGAACCTTCAATGTGACACTTCCGTGCCATTCCATGAAAAGCGGCGTATGGTCCCCAATTAATAAAAGCGTGTGCCTTAAACGAGAAAACAATGGGCGGAACTAAATAAAATGGAACTCGCATTCCGGTTATATTTGTTGTGAACTTAAGATTTTAAGTTACGATACCAATGAACTTTTAATGAGGCCCGAAGCATCACAATACAAATGTGTCTATATTATTTCGATAAGTATATATTTTATTTCATTTGACAACATATAGGTCAAAAGTTCGTATGCAGTCTTTTATAAATGTACTATATATGTCGAACCATTGAAATACAACATAAACTTTTACCAACAAATTGTCCTTTCATTCAAATTTTGGCAGATGATAAGTAATATTTCTTATTAGATATATTTTATGAAATCAGTAAGAATTTCAAATTCAACGTAAATGCCCGCCATTCTACTAATATACAAATGGATATTTACTTCTAAATTCCATATAATGTATCGTAACTTTTAAATCCTATTAAAGTTATATATGAATTCACATTTACTTTTGAAATGTCATGTCTATATAATGAATAATGAAGTGATTATGTCATAAAATATTTCAAAATTGAAGTCTGGTCACTGATGTGAATAAGATTTAGTTAAATTTCATTTGCTATTTGCAAGATTTGCATTTTTATTCGCTTTTAATATACCAGACGATAATTGTGCATCATATTAAACGGTCTGTGAATTCAATTTGTCACACCCGGCGTCGAAAGCTATGATTTAAATCAAACATCAAACTGTTGACTTACATCGGAGTAATTTTATCAGCAATCCAATGCATAGCATTTGAAAAATAGCCCTCGGGACTTTGCTGTTTCAGAAAACTTCCCTGTTGCGTATTACTCATACACTTTTCATTCCATATAGAAATAAACAATTATTGCCGAATATGACCAACAATGCTTGTATATTTTCAGTATGCCGAGATGCGGTTTGGACGGGCTACACGTATTATAGCATGCATCATTTATCTACTATTGATGGTGAGTGTTTCTACTTTTGCGTCTTTACCAACCTTATGCGAATTTATGCACGTGTGTCTGTTCGTCTGTTTTTAGCTCACCTGTGGACACAATATTCTCAAGGTGAACTTTTGTGATCGTCCATTATCCGTCGTCCATCGTCCGTCTGTCCGTGCGGGGATGTTTTTTTGCAAGAAGCTTTACTAAAGTTGTTCAAAGAGAACTTTGGTTGCCATGGCAAGCGAAATTTGAAAAAAAATCTTAGAAAATCTTCTTTTAAAAAAACACAAGGCCTTTAGCTTTCATATTTGGTATGTGACATCATCTAGTGATTCTCGACATAGATAATTCAAATTATGCCCCTTGGATGAAAAGGGGCCCCGCCAGGGGACTCATCAGTTTTATATAAAGTGATATTGGGAAATCTTAAAAATCTACTTGTCGCCTAGGGCTTTGATATTTAGTATGTAACATGATCAAGTGGTCCTCTAAAAAGATTGCTCAAATTATGCCGCTATGGTTAAAAGGGGCCCCGCCAGGGTGCTCACCAGTTTTATGAAAAGTTATATTGGGAAATCTAAAAAAATCTTGTCAATATCACCAAGACCTAGAGCTTTCATATTTAGTTTGTAACATAATCTAGTGGTCCTCTACAATGATAGTTCAAATTATGCCCCTAGGGTAAAAGGACCTAATTTGGGGGCTCATTGGTTTTATGTAGAGTTATTTAGGAAAATCTTTTAAAAAATTTTTATTCTTGTCAAAATCCACAATGCCTAGAGCTTTAATATTTGGTATGTAACATAATCAAGTAATCCTCTACAAAGATTGTTCAAATTATGCCCCAAGGGTAAAAAGGGGCCCACAAGGAGGCTTATGGAATTAAAAAAATCTTCTTGTCAAGATCTACAAGGCCTACAGCTTTGATATTTGGTATCTCACATCATGTAGTATTCCTCTACAAAAAATGTTCAAATTATACATCTAGGGTCAAACGGGGCCCCGTCAGAGGTCACATCAGTTTTATATAGAGTTATCTTGGGAAATCTTACAAAATATTCTTGTCAAAATCTACAAGGCCTAGAGCCTTGATATTTAGAATGTAGCATCATCTAGTGGTCCTTTACAAAGACTCTTCAAATTATGCTCTTTGTGTCAAAAGCGGCCCCACCAGGGAGCCATCAATTTTACATCGAGTTATATCGGAAAAACTTAAAAAATCTTCTGAAAGCCTAGAGCTCTGATATTCTTTATACAACATCATCTAGTGGTCCTGTAAAGACTGTTTAAATTATACCCATAGGATCAAAAGGGGCCCTACAGGGGCCTGATTAGTTTAACTTAGAGGTATTTATGAAAATCATAAAAATTCTTCTCTTCAAAATTCACAAGACCTAGTGTTTTGATGTTTGGTATGTAAGTCATCTAGTCATCCTCTACAAAGATTGCTCAAATTATGCTTCTGGGTTCAACATTTGCCCATCATCATGGAGCAGTTATTTATATATTTAAAACTTAAAACAAATCTTCTCCGAAACCATCAGACCTAGGGCTCTGGTATTTGATATGTATCATTGAGTATTGCGCGCTACATGAAGAGCTTTTGTGGTGGTTGACTATACGTCATATGTTGTCTCTCTTAAATAACATCTCGTAAACCACTTGAAAATTTTGATCAGAAATGAGCCTTGGTTACATTATTTGTACAGATGTTCATTGAAAGTGTAGTTTAGTAGTGCACTTACAACTTACTACACCATCGCGGTCGACATTTTGATCCCCAGCCATGTGAAATGTTTATATTCCTTTTCTTTTTTCTGTCATATTTTTATTGGATCACCTCTCACTTAGGTACGGGCTGAACTGTTTAATGAAATGACTGCTAGAGCTAAAATTAGAAAACAACAAAATCTAACCAACTGGTTCATTTTTTAAATATTTTTGCACAAAAATTGTTCAGATTAAGCTGTCCCTTGTTTTCAAATTGTGCTTCTGAGGTGAAAAGGGGATCCACTTTGACCTTTTGATCTATTTCTTAGATGAGCGATCCAGGGCCTTCTGGTCCCTCTTGTCGCATGTGTTGTCGTTTCGTTATACAAGGACTTACATGCAAAATATTACACACGAATAGCATTTGAATAACCGGAATTATAGTTATCATTAATTCATAGCCTAGAATTGTTTATAGCAACACTAACAGTAACAACCAAAATTTTATAATAATGCCACAAATTACATATTGCCTGTGTAAAAATCATGTGCTATAGAGAAAATCAATATTTAAATCTAAAAATTTGGTTAATGTGACAACGCAGTCTCTATATGTAATGACAGAGTGTAGCAAAAAAAAAAATGAAGAATCTAAGCTGCTTTGCATCTAGACGACGGATATGGATATATTTTCTCGTGAAGCATTAGTATTGAACCATTCAAGAAAGATATTAGCAAAATATCAAATAATTGGGGACTACTTCTAAAGAATACTTGTCAGACCCGTATAAATGCACAGTGCGTTAAATGGAGTACACGTATCAGTAAATAAACGCACTCCAGCTACTGTCTGTCAAAGATAAAGATAGAGCATGCATGCTCGTTGGTTTGCTCATTTTTAAATGATGAAAGGATAATGATGGCAAAAAATTACATTCGTTCATTTATTCTGCGGTTTCATATTTTGACGACAGGGGTTGTAGGTTTGTTTTGCCTATTACACAAAGGAGAAAGAACATAAAAAACACTTATATTACTTAAACATATTGCATTCAACTTCAATGAACGGTTTTAAATATATTATATTATTTGTATTGTATTGAAAACATGTCAGAGTTAATTCGTATACTGTAATGCATGCACAGTCCGTTAACTGGTGTACAGGTATCAGTTACACGCAATCTCTGTCTGTCTGATGTCTGAGTGGCTCATTTGTTCCGGTTTATTTACGGAAAAAGATAACGACGAAAAAGTCACATTGAGATGCTCATACATGTATATAAGTTCTTTTTTTCTGGGGTTTAATTTTGTGACGACAGGGAACGTGTTTTTTTTCTCCAAAACCCTCGGCAATCTGATTTATACTCGGGGGGGGTGAGGGGAACTACTCATGTACTCTACGCCTCCTCGTACAAATCCGATATCTTTGTGTTTCGATGCTTTTTCTATTGTCTGCGCACGTAAGTTGTAAGGAGGCCGCTATGAATAATCTCTTCAAAATTAAACCTGTTATAAAACTGGATCGTATTTTGAAATAAAAAGTCAATTTCTTTTTGCCAGTTGTATGAAACCAGTTTTAATGAATACAGCATGTTTTAAAAAAGATTAAGCGGTGAGAGTGACGAATACAACCTTGAATATGGTGGTGGCTGAATTTTAGTGTGAAGAAAGATTTACTTTAGGTTTGAAAGTTATTTTCATACGTGTATTTCAAATACCCGGGATAGCAAGTCTAATGTATGATGGCTATATATAATTGGACATGGACTTTTTATTTGTAAAAAAATAAACAGATTTGTCAAGATATTTCGTTTTAAATTGAGTACATATATGTCACAAGTTATAATGATTATTATCAGGTTATGGACCTATATAAGTGGTTTGCAAATGTAACCCGAGCAACTATGTGAGGGTAAAATTGCAAAAAAAAAACAAAAACAAATTAAACAAAAAGAAAACGTTTATAAAGGATCTTATCATGTCAAAAATCTCATTAAACGAATTTGAAATACAACAAACTTCCCTTAATGAAGCAATTTTAAAATACTCTATCAAGATCAAGATTTTAACCTGATACTTGTGACTTTAATAATATAAGTAGACAGTCGGCCGCCGACAACTAAACAGTGGTCATCATTACATTCTGTACACATCTAGCTCTTTGTCATTTTAATGTGAACATAAAATCTATTTACAGATGTTCTACATGGCTATAGTGTTGTATGCCCCTTCACTGGCCCTAAATGCAGGTAAATAAATGATAAATATTTTACAGCAATAAAATATCAGTGTTTGCGGTTATAGACCTTTTTACGACGCGGTCCGTTGCTATGAAAAAATCACTGGACGTAGTATTTTTCGCGCATGCGCAATTTGTGTAGGGCAAAAAAGAGTCATGCCCTACATAGGTATAAAGTAGAAATTCATAGACAATTCCGAGTTTGTTTAAGGTATAAATTAGAAAATCATATAGAAAAAAGCTTTTAACAGAAATACAAAAGATGCCTTCATAGCTTTGTGGCGAAGATTGCCCAATAGGCATGAAAAAGACGATTGTTTAAGAATCCCCCCTTACGTGACCTGACATTGAGATTATTGTTGTAAAAAATATGAGGAAATACATGTATATTTTTTAGCAAATAAAGAAGTTAATTTAATTGTTGTTGAAAACCTCCGTATTAAAAATATTTTATTACATATAATATATAACATTTTATATAAATTCTATTAACATTCAAAATCGGGGTTAAATATCATTTTGGAAAAAAAATCGGAACACGTGATATAATGCATTTTTAGTTTTCAGTTTAGCTAATTTTATCCTTTATCCGACTTGACTGAGATGCCAAACATATTTTTTTTAAGTCACATAATATATTTAAATAAGTTTTCAAACTCTTGTGAAGTTAAGATGGGTGATGGAATAACACACATTTTGTCCAGTTCCTTGTAACACACGGAAATGTACGTCACGTACACTATTTGTCACTTCACAAAATCAATAAACATTTATGAGATAGGTATAAATAAAAAACTACTTAAATTACGATTAATCATTTTCATAATTTCAAGTAATTAATTATGGCATGGTACAAAAACGACCCGGTTGAATGATATTGTTAAGTAGCTGGCAAATAACAGCCGGTCACGTGTCAATCTGTTTGACACTTACCGTCTTGCCAATCCACTTTCAAAGAATACCAATTGTGTAATATTATGTAATACATGGGTAATCAAATGTGATCTTTAACACCCTGTTGTTTTAATTTAATAACTGATGAAAAAGTCACATAATGATACCTTGAACAGAGGACTTTTGGTCGTTAAATTATAAGTCCCGCTAATTTTGTATATCTGTTATGAATATCAATTCACGTTTTAAGTACTGACAGCTTTAATTCATCCCAAAATTTCTTTTTTCTGGGTGACATAACTTGAAATCACGCCTTTTAAAGACTTTAAGTGCGCTAAATGTATGCTATCGTTATTGCGCTTTTGCCCTACGCAGAATGCGCATGCGCGAAATGTAACATACGTTGCTATGGAAAAATCGTACTGTAAAAAGGTCTATAAACATCATTTTATACGTTTGAAAAGCAACACTATCTATTAAAGGGCAAAACACTTTTTATTATTATTTATTTGATGTTTACGTTGTAAAATTAAAATCTGAATGTTGTGAACTCTGTAAACTGAAGGGTACATGAATTTGCTTCAGATTATGTGTACCTTGTGTGTTGAAAAACAGTATGTAATAAAAAGTAAGAGTGAATGGCATTGAAAAAAATACACATAATTGGTGTTTTACAATTGATAATACTTAGAGAAACAATGTATATTCTTTGTATGGTAAAAATAAAAATCTTCTGAAAAAGTATATTCCCTATAAAGATTCGAGTATTAATATGTAAATTCAAATGAACATGTACATGTATATACATTGCATATATATTTTTGTTTAAGTGACCGGTCTGTCACTGTGGGGATCCGTCCTGGCTGTTAGTCTTGTATGCATCTTTTACACTGCGTTGGTACGTATTTTTCTGACTTTTTATTTTAGTAATTGCTTAAGACATAGGGCTCAGACTTCCTATGAACTCTATATTTACATAATAAATCTGGCACGCAAATACCTAAATAAAGTTCTAAACAGTAGTTAAACAAGACTTCACGAGTTATTTCAAAACATAATTGAACTATGTAAATCTCTTGAAGGGAATTGTGTCTATTAAAATAATTTACTCGCAACTACATTGCTTACATATTTTTTCCCCTTTTCTGTATTGTTTTGTGTGTTTGTGTTTTTTTAAACCATTTAGACATTATATATAAGTATACAATTGAACATTTCCTATAGGGTGGTATGAAGGCGGTATTGTGGGCAGATACAGTACAAATGACCATTGTGTTTGCCGGTATGCTCACCATTCTTATAGAGGGATGTAAAGTCCTCGGTGGTCTTGATAAAGCCTGGGACATCGCTAACAAAAATGGAAGAATCGTCATATTTGAGTGAGTAAATGAGTGATAAGTCTGATGTTTACTAACCATAATTATGACCCAGAGTTATATCATAAAAAGTATTTCAAATTTCATATTGGTGAAGACATAGAAATTAAATAAAAATAGACTTTAAACTTTGTTCATCTTTCTGAACTTTTTTCAACGATTTATACTTAATCTTACATATAATATAATTTCAAATTATAATACAGTCTGCAAGTATTCTGTTGTTTTGTTGGTGTTTTTTCTTAGTCATTATTTAGATTTTAAGCGTTTCTGTGTGAATGTGCATATGAAGAAACTCTTTGATTTTTTTTTAGATTTAATACAGATCCTCGAATTAGACATTCAGTGTGGAACGTGGTTATTGGAGGGGGAATTTTATGGTGTTCAGTTTTCGGAACAAATCAAGCGCAAGTTCAAAGAGCAATTTCAGTCAGGAATGTCACCAGATCTAGAGTGTACGTATATTGTTATACCCTTTTTGTATAGAATCATTCCTGTAAATATTAACATTTGTTTATGACAATTCCCTACCAAATAAATAAATAATTTGTGAAGTCTTTATATAGGTTATTATATGTTATATAAATGGTTCTGATAAACCCATCTAACAACAACATACACAGTCGACTCCACTTATAACGAACTCGCTTATTACGAATAATCGCTTATAGCGAACTAAATCTGAAAACCCCGGCCAATTCCTTCTTTATTTCATTTTATGAATTTAACAAACAATGTCATCTCTATCACCAAGTCAGGCGACATTAAAATCTTTTAAATCTTACTAGTTTTACGGCTTTGTTTGCGCCATCTGACTAGGCTCTATAACAGTTATTGGTTAAAACCTTGCAAATAATCTACTTGAACTTATATAAGAGAAATGATAAGACTTTCTGCATATAATTTACTTCTAAAGTTACCTTAGTATTTCTGTGAAATATTTTAGAGCAATCTGGCTGAATCTTCCTGGAATGGCGTCAATTATAACTCTGAGTTGTTTGGTCGGAGTTGTGATGTTTGCTTTTTATGAAAAGTGTGATCCAGTCTCGTATGGAATCATTTCAAAAGCTGACCAGGTAATGTACGTAGTGAAAAAATGGAAGAGAATGTTTAACATAAATATTTGCAATGAACAACTTCATTCCGTGTCTCATCGCATTACTTTGTTTTTAACATTGTGCTTTGTTCAGCTGCAGGGAATATGTCAGCATGTTAATTACATATTTTGTCCTCTTATTGCATTATATACTGTTGAGTGAATATGTCTTAAAATGTTAAAAGAAGTGCTGCAGGGAATATGTCAGCATGTTAATTACATATTTTGTCCTCTTACTGCATTATATACTGTTGAGTGAATATGTCTTGGAATGTTAAAAGAAGTGCTGAAACTCGATGCTGCCGTTCCTAATACCCTCCGATTGCAACGTCCTGCATAGGTTTTCCGCAAATGTTCAGTCCCCTAAGTACATGGAATGTATGGGATTGGTTAGTCCAGGCATAATCTTCTAGAAGTGCCGTGTATCCTAATGATTTGTTATATACCAACTAGTACAGGCTTCCAATAATTTGACCACATAATTAAGCCGGACCAACTGGACAAGTGCAATAAGCTAATGATACTTCAGCTTCGTCTTAAGATTTGACTGATATATGCAATTAAATGATTGTAATTCGTTATCTATACTAAGTATTTCATACTGTAATTAATTAAAATTGTTGATAATATATAAGTTTTACGTTCTTTACTTAGCTTGAAATGTATTTTTACATTGCTATAGACAACATCATGTGTTATAATACTGAAAATCCATTGAAATGTATAAGACGGGGGTGTGGTGTCATATCCAAACAAAATATTATTTTGATTTGATAAGGCAGTCCGAAAAATTAACAACTTAATTACTAGACAGTCATCCAGATTTTTTGACTTTTAAATACAAAGTGAATAAAACTTTCTGTATGTTTTTTTTTATTTCAATAGCATAATTTAGGAGAAGTATGGTACAGAATTCAGCATCCAGCTGTTTACATCTATTATCAGTTAATTGCTTTATACACTCTTGACCAACATGTTTTTAGGTTAGCAATAAAATACTGATAACACAGATAATGTTTGTATAAGTTGCAAAGAGTTAACATGATATTTATACTGACACGGAATATTAGAAATTACTTGGAATTATCATATACATTAATTCACTTTTCAGGTCTTGAATACATGTATGTCCTTCACTGTATATAACGTAAATTAAACCCTGTTGTTGATTTATTTATCTCCAAAAGAAATTAATGTAATGTTAAATATAGTTCTCAACAGGTATGTAGTAAATGGTACAATATGAAGATCTCTGCCACTGTAGGAAAATCTTTCGGCCATATATTTGTCATATGTTTACATAGAGCAGATATTAAAGCTTGCCCTGTTAGCCTCGTTCTGATAAATGTATGAATATGTATGAAGTTATATTAAGAAGGGTCTATATTTCATTCTGTTTAACCACGTTTTTATCTTCTTTTTTCCTCAAATAATAGATAAATACAGAGTCCCTAAAGAAAGCCCAACACGGCAAAATTGAAAATGTTGCAGGCTCGGTTTGATTGAGCCTGTTCATGGACGGTACTGGAAAGTGCAAGTTACCGTCCACGCCCCCTAGCACCGGCTTAAGCAGAATTCAACATTTAAACATGAAATAGTAAAATTTTGAATTTAGAAACATCCGCAGATGTGTTCATACGGCGGTTATCATGGAACCTTCAATGTGACACTTCCGTGCCATTCCGTGAAAAGCGGCGTATGGTCCCAAAGTAATAAAAAGCGTGTGCCCTAAACGAGAAAACAATGGGCGGAACTAAATAAAATGGAATTTTGAAAGGGGATCAGAGGTTATGAAGCCTGCCTCAAGTTTTTTTAATTGTTCATTGGTTTATCATATGACTTAGCAGCACGCCTCCAGAGTTTTGTAAATTTTCGTGAAAATTTTGAAAATGTATTAAAAAAGTAAAATATTTTGAAGGGAACTAAGAACATAATTTACACATTGCAAACGGCACTTACAACCCATGTAAATTAACAAATAGATGTCAAAATATACAAAAATAGCGCTTACTGCTTAAGTTACGCAGTAGAAGTATGTTGAAAAATACTACAAAATCGCTCATTTTTAGCAAATAACATGGAAATTGTTGCTTATATCTTTGCTTTTCTTTAAATCTCAGTATGGTTATCCTCGGGCTCATCTGGAGACATGCAGCTTTAAGGCCAAATTAAGTAAAGGTAACTAGCTTTAGAGGAAAACTTCGGATATGTTTAATCTAATGATATTTTATCTAAAATATCTAGTTGGTTCCACTGTGGACGATGGACTTACTAGGTGAAATGCACGGGCTTCCTGGCTTACTATTATCAACTGTATTCAGCGGAAGTTTAAGGTAAGCACCATTTTGCTCGTTTTTTCTGGTGGCGGTCAACTACCCAACTACAGTAACTTAGAAATAGTTCGTGTAAAACTGTAAAACTTTGCAACCAGGTCCCTATCTTATAGTGCTAACAATGTTTACAGTGATTTTAAACCGCTAGTTTGCGTGCAGCAACCGTACTACTGGTGCAGACCAAGATCAGCTGGCACATTCGAGACGTCTGATTGTTGTCTACACTGTTCGCTATTTAATTAGAACATAGACCTAGTTTGAAAATTTCCTTAAAATGAAATTAAAACGATTTTGTACAGATTGCAAGATTGGCAATTTAGTCTATTTAAGATATTTGGCGTAGTCAGGATTAAAGAAACAGTTTTCACGGTTAAAGAATCGGATTTTATAATTTCTGTAATCCTTGCAATATTATCAAAATAAAAAATAATACTTGTTACTTGTTGTTACTGTTTTCTAAATGTTTACCTCCATTTCGAATTAACGACCTTGAAGATTTAATACACGGTAATATTACTGGATTAGATGTAAACATGTTTAAAATATTTTATTATTATACGCAGACGATATTCGCAAATTCAGCAAAAGAAATAGCATTGAATTACATGTATTACACTGTGGAAAATGTAGAACAAAAATCATTATTTAAAAAAAGTGGAACGTTACTACGAAATATTGAAATTTTATACAATGGACTGCCTGTTCACATTGTGAATGTTTTTTTTATTATTATTATTTATTTAGAAGTTGCATTTACAAGCGAAGTTTCACTTAATACTGCCATAATACTGTCGCAGGTCAAGCTGAAAAGCAGTGTTTAAGCTCATTAAACATTTATACAAATTTACCTATTTACAACCAAATCAAAAAATAAATAATGTCCAATGTTAAATTATTGCTTCGAAGTGTATAGTTTTGCAAATGATTTATCAACTTAAAGGGTGCATTTACAATTTTGTGTGTTAAAAAACGACACAAAAATACTGCATTTATGGAGAATTAGGGCATGTGTCCTTTAAAACTGCATTTTTATGTAAAAAAATTAATATTGGTTAAATATTTTACATTTGGGAACAAACAAGTATGTATACATTATTTACTCGTTGTTAAAAGATGATTTTGAACAGAAGAAATTGATGTTCTATGTTAATTTTTTCTATGTTCATTAAGTTTATGATGCATGGATATATCAAAGTGTAGGTGATGATAATATATTTTTGTCAAAAGTTAAGTAAATATCAAATGACAAATTCAACTGGAACTCAAGATTATCGGACTCTAAAAGTTATGCATATTTTGTTGGTATAAACATTAATTTTTTTAAACAAAAAAATGCGGAAGACATAACTGATTGATTTTCTTCAAGTGTATTTACTTTCATCATTTTTAAATTAAACTTCCCCTTCACTGATTGTGAATTAACAAATTGATACAGAGAGATGTTGGCGTATTTCATGAATAAATTGAATTTATCTTACAATCAGGAGAACACCAAACATTCGTAAATGTGAAAAATTCATAAATATACTGAACTGATTGTATCTCCAAAAATATGACAGTATATTTTATATGTAGATAAGTGAAGCGTTAAATTACCCGTAAATAGCATACCAAGGTCAATCAAATGTGTCAAATAAAAACAATAACAAAAAAAAAACAATAACAAAAACAAAAACAAAAAAAAACAATGAACAGTCTTTCAGAAACAATATGTAGAAATGAAATATTAACACATTCTTTTATATGTATTTTGTTTTAAACAGTACTATATCATCTGGTCTAAATGCTGTTTTGCAGCGGATATTGGGGATTTTTAAGACCAAATGCTGTAGGGTATTTAAAGCACGGGGACTTTTTTTCAAAATGTTTGGGGATTTTCTTTTTCCATAAATTAAAATTTTTAAATTTTTAAAATAAAAAAACTTATATGCAAATGTTAAAAAAAGGGGTTATGTTAAATTTTTATATTTTTAAAAACTGTTGTCTTGACCCTGAAAGAAAGAAAAAAATTGCGGGGTTAGAAAAATTTCGAGGAAAACTTTAAAAAGATTACAATTAAAAAAAACCCTCAAACATATTTTGTTGTCAAAATAATGTTAAATTTCCTTTTCTTTATGTTTTACCAGTAATATTCTTCGGCGGTCTCTCCCTGGCATTTGCTTTCATCGTCTCTCAAGTTGGAACCATGATATTGCAGGTAAATACGTCATTCTTTCGTATCATTTTACTTCGCCGTTAACTAATGGACTGATCTGTGTATATGATGACAGGGTCTGCATATAAGTCGAAGCTTGATCATATATGTCAAACCTTGATGTTATTCAAATGCTTTTAAATGTTTCAACTTAAAAAGTAGGCAGCACACTTCGGTCTGTCTGTCCGTACGTAAATCATGTCTTCCTTGCCCATTCTATAATTTGAAAAGGTATAAACCATGGTTTATCTAGCTTATAAGGTGGGTATTGCCCATGGTCAGTAGATGATCTTATTGTCTTTGAGGTCATTAGGTCAAAGGTCAAGGAGACAGTGATATTATGTATAATCAATAACTAGATAAGTTAAAATGGTTTAAGTTGGTTTGAATACTATATCATTAGACCATTTAAATATAGCATACCCTACGTTTTGGTAACCTTGTTTGAATAATTATTTTATGATATAACTTGTTTTCAGAATCAAGTTCATTGATAATAAATATTTACTTTTTTACTTGTACATCATCATTTATTGTTTTTCTAGTTAGTATACATGTTAGTTGGGGTGCTGGGAGGCCCTTTGCTAGGAATGTTCACACTGGGTATGTTATTTCCATGGGCAAACAAATGGGTAAGTAGATCTATTTAATATTTTTCAGTGTTTCCTTTTCTCTCCTGCAAATGAACGGCACTCCTTTCATATCTTCTATTTATAGTTACAAATCGGTGAACTTACTTACAGAACGATTATACGATGATACACGGAATACTTGTTAATGTGTTTTTTCCCGAATATTTTTTTAAAATTTTTGATGATATTAATATGGCTGTTGAAGGAATGACCGTCTGTTGGTAGAAGTATACAATTGTGTGTATTTGAGTTTCTTTATACTCTTCACCGGTTGCCCAGAGTTCTCCAGACGAGTATTAGTCATTTTAGATTTTGTAGGATAGTGCTGAAAGATGCCCCAATTCCAGAAGCTTCTCAATGTTCTTTGCGTGACAAGTGTTAAAGCACTCATACACGGGGCCTCGATTTTAAGTCGCATCCGAAAGACTGATTAGTAATTGTAATTGGCCGTCCCAAGAATCGAACCCACAATGTCGACATTACAAGTCTCGCACTCTAACCGATTGAGATATGCGGTTGGTTAAGGTGACAACGGAGTCAATTATCACTGAAAATACCTAAAATGAGATTTTTTGCTAAGTAGCTTTATAAACCTTTTCTGAACACATTCGTGATTTAATTTTGGAAGCAGTTAGTCCAAAAAATGTGTTTTTAAACGTTTTAAAACGGAACCTATACTATTTGTATCTGCTATTCGCGTAACCTGTCGATTATCGATAACGCTCCGCCCCCTGTTGAGGCATCAATGAGGGAAATCGGTAGTTTTCCATATATCCGTGAATTACAGGTCCATACTGGTCCATACTTCTCGTAATACATGTATCGTACAACTAACGTACATCTTTTATGAATATCTCAACATTTAGCCTTTTTTATAAATTAAGAAATTGTCGGCCAATGTACGTAACATAATGTATGAAACATAAATAATTAAGCATAGCGGCAAATCGCACGACCACGGGGTTGATTAAAAATGTAGTTGCTAAAATATCCATAATGTGTGAAAATAATTTGTCTGTCCCGTTAATCTGATAGATATTACGTTGAGTTGATAGACTTTTGTACGGATTCAAGGGCTTACTTTACATTCAACCTCGTTTTCTAACAATGTCAAGTAAAACAACAACAAAAACAGACAACATTTTTTTATGTGAACGCCTATGTGACTTGTGGTAAGGTGTCCCTGACAAATTTCTAAACCATTTTAGATTTGTCTAAGGATGATTATTTCTCTATAAATAAAAAAAGACATTAAAATATATTCTCAGTGAAAATAAATTGTTCGCCAGTAAATTGGACACAGTACTAATAAATCTGGGACAAAGTTTGAAATTTATTGTCTATCCCGGTAGAAACTGGATCTCTATGCCGTGCATAGATGATATTCATAATAGAAGTCAAGAAGGCCAGATCATAATGATCGAGTAATACCTTTTATTTCTATTAAAATATGTGAAGCATTATCAATTTGGTGGAAAAAATATATAATATCCCGTTCTTATTTGTACATCTACCATGGACTTTAAAAAGACTGTCAGAAGCTTAGTTTTTTGTTATTTTATTTTATATTTTAACGGAATTTCATACACGAATACACAGGCAGAGTGACACTGGTATAATACAATAATAATGCTGATGATAATAATAATAAACTTCAAAAAGGAAACAATTAAATACCCCGCTAGCGGTGCGCAAATGCGTTCCATTTCCCCCCACTGAGTGCCTCAATTTTACCGATAGTCACGTGACATGTGCGACAGATACTAGACTGACAGTAATTCACGTTAAGAATTGAAGAAATTTCGGCTATAAAACTGATATTAATCAGCAGCTTTTTAATTGGTCAGATGTCACTGGGTCATAAAATGTTGTCAGAGTATGTTACCGCAACTTGTGACCCTCTCTGGTGCGATATTTGTGTATTATGCAATTATTTAGCGTGAAACGTAGGGGTCCGACAGAGAACAGCCGATTTATGACACTTCGTTTGATGCGGGTCGGACTAACTTTGAATCGGCATAACTTTTTTAATAATCAAGCAATTAACATGCGGTTTAAAGCACATGAAAGGAAATTCATTTACGGAGGGAACCGTGTCAGGGATTTTTGTTTGCTCAATAGGCGACTTAATTATCTTTAATTACGTAATATGTATAGTGAAAAAAGTCGCTTAAAATGTTTGACGTTACGTAATATTTTTTTGAGAAAAGATAGAAAACATTTGAGACACGGTTCCCTAGATAATATAAGTATGGTTATTTTACAAAAGTTTGATGACCAAAAAATAAAAAATGACTTTGATATGACGATTTAAAATTTTAGGATTTTTATTCAAAATCAATCATTTACAAAGGCATTTTTTTCAAATATGTTATTTTTTATGATGATCAACGACATTTAATGCACAAAGATTAAATAAATAACAATTATTACTAAAATAACTTTGTTTAAATGACATTTATGTGAGTACCACGGAAAGTGTCTGTTGTCACCTTAAAAAATATACATGACAAATACAACAGACTATGTTTGTTTCAGGGCGGTTGTATAGGAATCTCAACAAGTGTTTGTTTGTTAATGTGGATTGGTCTCGGAACGTCTATCACATCGACAAGTGTCACAGTAAAACCACCTGTGTACACGTCTGCCTGTAACTGGACAGCGTTAAACAAAACAGCCCCAGAAATAATAGACACATCGGTCACTCTAGCACCGAACGATGTCAATGATAACTACGAGTAAGTATTTCTCAATATAACTGTCTGCATCAGTTATTTTTTTATAAAACGATAAGCATATACAAAATGGACTTGATATAATAATTTCACGTGGATATATTACGTACTGTTTGTTATTTCAGAGGACTACAACGACTGTACACGGTGTCTTATATATGGTACTCGGGTATTGGTGTGGTAACAGTAGTAGTGGTGGGAATGATTGTCAGTGTTATAACTGGTAAACACTTTCTGACGCTTTTAAATGTTCGAACACCTGATCGGCCATTGCATATTCATATAACTGACTTTCAAAAGTATTCATCTTTTTACATGTAGATTATTAGATTATTACATTGTTTTTAGTTAACCACTGTATCATTTGGTTGAAATACAAGATCACCGGTCTTATGGCCATGTAAAATAAAGTATCGTTTGATAGAAGTAATGATTCATTGGTCTTAAAACATGTTAATCAATGTATTACTTTATTGGCTGACATTCTAGATCATAGGTCTTATGAAATGTAAAACTAATTGATCAGCTTATTGTTCACGAAATCAACATTTGTCGCTAAAAAAGTCCATAATATTACAATTGAGATTTGATTTGAATAGAAATTAATAATAACTAAACTCTGACCATGGATTATATTGTAGGTGTTACTGATACCTCAAAGTTAAATCCAAAACTGATATGCCCTGTGTTTGACATATTCTTCCCGTATTTACCAGAAAGTTGGAGAAAACCACTCCGGTTCGGAGTTAGGCATGGGGAGGTAAATAAAATGCTGTATAAATACTTCTGATTGAATTAAAGTTCATTGTGATAAGTTACATGTTTAAAATATTTTTTTTAAGTTTAGGAACTCTTAAAAGATTTTTTGGTATATTTGATCATTATTCCGCATATTACCACCATAAATGAAACATTTCCTAAAAGTTCAGTTAAATTTTATGAGCTTTAAAAAGATTTGTTGATGCATTTGATCTTTATTCTGTATGTTACCACCATAAATGAAAGGTTTCCTTGTCTATCACTGCAGTTTTTCCTACATACACTAATGTATATTAATTTCCAATATATAAAAATAATAATCATATAGTTAAAAGTAGCGGAAGTTTACAAGAAAATGTAAATATAAACTTGTAGGACAAAGAAGATGAGTCTGATACTGTAGAGAAGAGGAAAGAAAGAATTGCCAGCCTACATTTAAATGAAGAAATTCGTCCAAGTTACATTTTTAACGGGAAATCTAAGCAAATCAATGGACATGACAATATTGCCTATGTTGACCCTCCATATGATACAAAACTTTAAATCACCGTTATACAATCACATCATTATATATCAAATTGTATCAGTGAGAGATTTGTGCAACTTATTTTTGTAATCTAAATCAATGTTTTTTTCTAGAATGATGGATTCAGACATTTGAGATTTTAGCATCTATCATAGAAACGTATACTAATCATTTTAAAAATATTATTATAATTAAAACAGTTTACTTTACTTCTCTAGCTTCGTTCCCTAGCTTATATATTATTGTCTTTGTTAGTATTAATTAACTTAAAAAGTAGTTATGCTTTCTTACAAAATTCACGAGTATTTCATTGCCTCCACTGTTATGAGATTTATAAATATAATATTTATTTTGGGAAGTTTTTGGACAAATTCTTTTCTACTTTTCCCTTTTACTTGTAATTTAGATAGCCTTATTTTCACACCAAATTTTGAAACTGAATGTTCCCATTTTGTTTCTTTTTCAAAATTCATTTTATATCATCGTATTTTTAATCTATGCTTCAGTTCATATCTTTACCCCACGTCTTTAAATGAATATAATTTTGAATTCATATAGGTACTTTTATTGGATCGATTGACTCCTTTTTTATTTTTATTCTTGTTTAATCAGTAATATATTACTTTTGAATCTATACTTTTAGAATTTAATGTTTTACACATTTTTGTATTTGAATTAATCAGATTTTAATAAATATTTACACATCATTTAATGTGTCTTTTTATATCCCACATCAGCGTTGTTTGTGCCGTGTGGAGGCTGTAAAATGTCGCCCTGTACATTAAATCAGGATGTTATATTTCCGATCCTTAAAGATCGTTCAGCACGACATTATTGTTGTGCTTGTGGTATTTTAGTTCTATCTATTCGGCATTTTCTTGTTTATGGTTTTATTTTTTCTCCTTTGAAAACCCCTTTAATTTACCCAGGGTATAGGGCCCCCTTTTTTAATTTTTTTCTTTTGACGTTTTTATCTTTTATACAGGTTTCCCATAAACCCCAAAAACCCACCTTCAAAAAATTTCCCTTTTTTTTTAGTTCCGCCCCTTGTTTTTTCGTTTAGGGAAAACGCATTTATTTACTTGGGGACCATATGCCCCTTTTCATGGAAAAGGCACAAAGTTCACAGGAAAGGGTTCCCTTAACCCCATATGAACCACTGCGGTTTTCAAAATTTTAAATTTTTCCGTTCAAAGTTAAATGTTTAATTTTGCTTAAGCCCGGGGCTAGGGGGGTGGACGGTAGTTTGCACTTGACAGTACCGTCCAGGAACAGGCTTAATCAAACCCAGCCTGCAACATTTTCAATTTTGCCGCGTTGCGTTGGGCTTCTTTAGGGATTCTTATTCACTCTTTTTTATATCCCTCATCCCGCCCTAAAGACTCGCATAGCTTTTATGTTTACAGTTTTGTCCAGGTAATAACCTTGCTATATAAAATAATTTCGCATATGTTTCACATTGAGAGGATGTGTCGTTTGCAAGATACAGATTTGTAGGTCAAAGGTCAAGGTCGCAAACTTGAAAGGAAAAATTCATATAAGGGTAATTGATGGTCATTTCTGGTTAAGAAGTCTTGACATTTCTGAATGAATTTTAAAACGAAATTGCATAAATGTGTTGGACATAACGACAACATGTCATAAGCAAAATCTGCGATCAAGTTCAATGGTCAAGGTATTGCTCGTAAGTCCAAAGTTATGACATGATTTTTTTCATGAAAGTGTACACAAGGTCGTGGCTTTCAACAACTCTGTCATTCCTGCAATTTCCTGGATATATTTTTAAAATAATATGGTATAAGTATGATGTCATTAAATTGAGATATACTGACGGCCCAACGGAATTTGGCGTTATTTTCCTCATACCTATTGAAATTTTAATGAAATGTAGTCTGTATACATGTACATTGACCGACAATCACGGCAAAGAAAAATCGTGCACATCTATTCAGCTCGATGTTTATTTCCGGTGGTTGCTCATGATTTCCACGTGCACCTCGTGTATGTTTTACACACTTGGTGAAATCGATCACATTATACACAGTTACTTGTGGCCTAGTCGATAGACAATCACAATTTTAGAGATTTTCTGATTAAACATTTCGTATTTAGGAATGCCCAAGGCTAAATCTGAAAAGAGAGAGTTCGCATTTTGGCCATGCTCGATGCGGGCGAACGCTAGAACAAGTCGCCAGACGTTTGAACGTCCTCGCGTTTTCGACGATTCGCGTCTTGTTCGACGTGTAAGAAATACGGGAACATTTGCTGATTCGGCAAAAATTCAGAATACCTCGTGTGACGTCTGTCAGACAAGCTAAAATTTCATACGTCAACGTCATTTGTTTGACAGGTTTGTGACGGCGGACGAATCGACGTCGCGTTTAGTAGTAGTCCGTAACCGTGGTCCGCCCAATAAGTCGTTATACATTAGAAGACGACTGAGGGAACCGCGGGATTAGCTTGCGGCCGTAAACTCTAATGCGTTGTTTAGTTCTAACTTCATGCTCACCGTCACCAACGTCTGGATCTGGGCCCGCAACCTCGCGGTCAGCTTTTGGAGGAACTTGGTGTTCAGCGACGAGTAGCGTTTCCCAACTTATTGGGAACTCACCGACGGGTATCCGTGTGTACAGGCGACCGTCACAAACGCTACGTTGGCAATTGCGTTGTGGAGAACAATCCGTACGGGAGGGGCGGAATTATGGTCTGGGGAGTGATAAACTACAGGTTTAAGACCACAACGTGTCGTCTGCCAATTTACCACGCAAGACAGTTACATAGACTAGATTTTACCGTCCTGCCGGTTGTTGTCGATTTCCGCCAACGGGTCAAAACCCCGGTCTACCAACACGGACAACGCGCGACCACAATTGCACCGTGCCACCCCGGAACTTATACAGGAAACACGTTGGCGTTTTGGACTTGGCCGGCCGGCTTCACCGGATTGCCCAAACCCGATTGAACACGTGTGGGAATTACTTGGAACGTCGGGTTTCGTTTGACCCCTCAAACCAATCAGCAAACTCCCAACTGACGGGAGCGGTTTCCAAAACCCGGGGTTTTGGAAGAATCCCCCCTTTTTATTCTTTCGCAATTTTTGGGTTTTTTAAAAAGCCCCCTTGCTGCTTTTCTCGCAAGTTTGAAAGGGGGAAAAAACACGCTACTGATTTTTCGAACTGGGAAAAAACTCCGACCCGGGCTAAATTTAAAATTCGTTTTTTTAAACTGGGAAAAAATTTATAATTCCCCTTTTCCCCTCAATTTTTTTTTTAAAAGATTTTTTTTGGGAGATAAAATAAATTGTAAAGGGAAAAAGGTTTTTTTGTGTAACAAAGCCTTTTATTATGAGAATTTTTGGATGTAAAGTATAAATTTTCCCCTATGAGGGAGGGGATTTGTAAAATTATTTTTTCCCCAAAACCCCCTTTTTAAAACCCCCGAAAAATTCCCCAAAATTGTCCCCTTTAAATGTAAGGGCCATTAAAATAGGGATTCCCTTTTTTTTTGAAAAATTTCCGTTTTAAAAAAAATTTTTTTATTTTATTTAAAAATTTAAAAGTAAAATTTTATTATGTTTTGTATTATTTGTAATTTTTGTTGTTTGTTTTTATTTTAAACCCTTTTTTAACCAAAATATTCGCAATATTTTCCCTTAAAATGTTCCTTAAATTACTTCCCTTTCTTTTTGAAAATTTCCCCCGCGGTAAATTTTTTTAAAAACTTTCCCTTTTTTAACCCCCGAGGGTTAAATTAGAAATCACTAATGCCCGGAACTTTCAAAATTTATAAAAATTATTTGAGCATAACATTTATGATACAAGTATAAGCATTTCCAAAAATGCTTGGAATCGCCGTTCAGCCATGAATATATAAATAATATTTTATTTCTTGCCAAATATTGTGGTCAACACTTAAAGCCAACAAAAATACTTGATTTACTCTACCATTCCGTTCTAGACGTGCTCAGTTATATTCTGATATAATTCTTTTTTGTTGTAGGAGATATTGCCCATAAACAATAACTGAACACGTACGTAGTACAATTAGTTAGACTACATGCGCTACCTTTTTATGTTCTATACTCCGTCGACTGCTTTGCGAATTTTTTTTCTGAAACGGACTATAACTGACCTGCTATATTGTAGGTATGCTCATAGTTTTAAACTCGCCCTGGAAAAAGCATTTATGAAGTTTTTTTCTTTAAGTGCCAGTTTTGGAAAGAAAACAAAATATACTGTTTTTAAGACTACATTATTTTATCAGAAATGGCATGTAGCAAAAATTATTGCAATGTGCTGTGTTTATCCTGCAAAAGGCTAAAGACTGGTTCTGAGTTCTTACATTGATAATGGTATTTTTCAGTTGTACGAATAAGTAACCCGACAAAACATGGCGGTTGGACGAGTCCATTTAAGCATCCCTCATTTGAAGTTTTTTACGTCCATTTTGTTATCATGTGATATTGCATTATTCGCTTTGATTGGCTTAAGGCAGGCGGTGTACAGGTAGAACTGTTCAATTCTTGTCAATTGTATATAACGCCGTCCAGGAACGGCGATAATAAAACCATAAAAAATTGAATAACATGGTCTTCAAATGCGTTTTAATTTAAGATCCCTATCATATAATAGCTATGAATTTGTTTCAACAAAAACATATATACTTTTTTTTCAGAAATCTTTTTAAATAGTTTTCAGTATTTTCATTCAAGTAATAATATTTTTAGATATAAATGTACAGTACATGGCCACTCGATTTAGTTTAAAGTAACATTACACTTTGGTCATGATTTATGTAATGCCAATAATGATTTAATCAACGCTGGACTTTACTTTTTCTAAAATCAAACAATTAAAGGTTAAACAAATCTACAAAAAAAAAGAAAACAAAAATAAGTTTTTCCTTCTCTCTTCAAAATTTGAACAAGAAGGTATAGTCACACTTGTTGTTTTGTCCAAGTATTGATTATTTCCATGAAGGTCAATGATTCATTTTACATCTAAAAATGTGCACGTGGTCCAAATTTCATAGCTATACATCAAAAGACAAAATAGTACGTCACTTCATCAAATTATGTAGGACAGCTGATATCAAAGTTCAATTTTACATCAACATGGTCCAAATTTCATAGCTGTACATCAAATGACAAGAAAGTAGGTTAATTTATCAATATCTAGGTCAGCCGATATGAAAGTTCAATTTTACTCACGGTTCTTATTACAAGTTGTAAATCAAAGGACAAGAAAGTAGGTCACTTCATCAAATTATCTAAGTCATACGGTGGCTGATTTTTGCCATTTGTTTTTTTTTTGCTCTGTGACCCCGCCAAGCGAAAAGTCGAGAATTGACATGTTAAAATGGCAGGAACGCGGAGCGAAATCACACTAATTAGAGGGGCGTAGGGTGAAGTTTAATGATTAAAACTTCGGCCCGCGGGAGTGCGGGGAGGGATTTAAGAAATAAAATGGCGGAGGAGCAAAACACGCTTATTAGAGCCCCCGCTAATTAGCGTGTTTTCGCTTTGGACCCCGCCAATTTAACTTGTTAATAATCGTATTTTCGCTTGGATGGTTCGCGGGACGAAACACGCTAATTAACGTGTTTTAGTCCCGCGACCCCGCCTTTTTATTTCATAAATATCGCCCTGCGCCTTCGCTTATTAGCGTGTTTTCGCCCCCACCATTTTAACTTGTTTATTTTCGACTTTTCGCTTGGCGGGGTCGCTGGCCGAAAACGCAAATGTCACAAATCAAACACCTTAAAGTCAGCTGATATCAAAGTTCAATTTTACATTAAAAAATATGCACATGTTCCAAATATCATAGCTCTACATTAAAGGACAATACAGTAGGTCATTTTGCCAAGATAAAGGTCAGCTATTATCGCACTTCAATTCCACATATGAAACTGTACACATGGTCTAAATTTCATAAATGAACATCAAAGGACAAAAAGTAGTTCATTTCATCAACTTAACTAGGTCAGCTGAAGTTGGTCTTAATGCCATAGCTATAGGGAAAAAATAGAAGAATGTCATTAATTTGACCTTGATGGTCAAGGGATAGAAGGGCATTTCAAGAAAACAAAGTAGGAAAAAGTAGAGGTCAAACAAATAAGTATGGAAAGGTAAGGAAAGAGGGAAAAGATAACCCACTTGAAAGCCTTCACTTAGATTTGTGTCAGTTATGTCTTTTGTAAGAAGGGTTTGGTTTAAACGGCAACTACGTAGTCAATTTTAATTTATTTCACTTGCCACGATAATAACAAGGTCTATATATAAATCATAAAATTTATTTTATTTATTCATTTACTCTTAATCTTAATCTCTACCTGGGAGTTTTTATTATATATCGGTAACATAAAAATAGAGATAAATTGGCCCATCTTAAATAAAGATGTGTCCTAATAATACAGAAATTATCGCGCCTTTCGCAGCTCATTGTACACACACACGTTACTTAGTGAAATATTCGACCGATGCGCAATATATCTGCTAGAGCATGATCCGCAGAATTTGAACAATTAATAACAACAACAATAATAATTTAAAACGTAGTCTGATGAGTGTTAAATATACATCATAAACAAATATTGCAGATAAATACGCAAGTATGTGTAGAAAAATGATAATAATAGAATTTCAGATCTATCTGGCTTTAAAGCAAAAACATAGAAATTGTCTTGCGAAATTTTAAGTATATTACTGCAAAGATGCACACGACACACATAAAAATCATTTACCAGAAAACATTGATGCATTAATGCCCTTTTTATTACCTATGTTTATCTCGTCACATCAAGTGCTTTCAGCGCTTTGATCTAAATTGTAAAGAAAATAATATCGTTTTCTTTTTAATATCTTTTCTTAAGTAATTTTTGATGTTTACAGAACTCAAGGTCCTGGCATTGTATAAAAGGTACTACGTTTATTTTTTTATTGAACTTTGTCAGATAATCTAATTATAAGACCTTTGAAATAGGGCCCATCATACAGTCTTGATAAAAAAGAAAAACTTGAGCCTAAACATTTTGATATTTTCATCATATCACAGTTTATGCATAATATTTATTTTTCAATTACACGATAACACTTAGTTTAATAAAAACATATTAATAAAGTTCGTGTAAGTCAATTTCCCACTCCATATAGCCAAATTCGTCGACTTTACGGAGATAAACACATGATTACAACAATATAAGGCTTTAAATATATTGGAATTCCTTTGAATGAATTTTCCCCCGCGAAAATATATATTTTACATTTAATATCATGAATAAAGGGTCAAGAAATTAGGTACATCTTCTATTGTGAAGATAAAAACATTCAGTTATTTATTTACGTCACTTAAAAGTTACACATTGTCTCACCACAATACTGCCTCCAGTTCATGAAATCCAACTAGAATACGATGGCTCAACAAAATACATAGACGTGAATATCCCAGAAAACTTAAATGTAATTAAGGGATAGCTTTTGCCACAATAAAACAAATTGTAAAGGATAGTTCTAAGATAAAATGTAAAGAATGAGGATAGTTCTTTATCGTTTTGGTTAATTTGTAAATGATTACAAATTTTATAAAGTCAAACGTAAAATAAGTTAAAGAGACACCTAAAATAGAATTGTCCTACTTTGAAAAATCATCAATAAAATTATGCAATAAATTTTATTTCAATGTTTACAAAATGGGAATTTTATAGCTACAAGAAATAATTATTATTTTATTGTTATGCAAGCATTGTTAACATTTCTTTTTGTATTAAAAACTTAGAAATAATATAATTTTGAATGCTAACCAGTTTTACTTTGGCCGAGTATCTTTTTTAAAGATACTTCTTGTTTCTCCTCTTTTAAAGCTTAATTAAAACCATCAAAGGTATAAATCTATCACAGTAAAGTACACAGAATCATTGTTTTTATTGTACCAAATACGATATTTTGTTAGTGCAGGTAGTTAACACAAGCAAAACAAATTCTGTCCCATTCATTTTAATTATTTTGTATGACTTTAAACGCGCTGTAATATATTTACCTATCTTATCCATCGTCAAACATTTAGAGTTAACAAAACAAATTAAATATAGTAACAAAATGCGGTAAAATGACATCATAAAGACTGGGCTAATTAAGACGGTTATATATTTTATGACAGGTTATACGTACAGTAATTGACATTCTAACGTAAGAGGAAAAACGTTAAGTTAAACTGTCTACATGTGCGCAATAGGTGTATAAACGGATATATTCAAATACATGACTTACTTATTAACAATAGTACATCACAAACTTTCAACTGTCTCCTTAAGTGCATAAATAAACGGTCCAGTAGTCGGAACGGGTTGAATGTTTGTAAGAAACAGTTTTGAATTTTAATTCAATTAAATTAAATTTCGAAGTTGAAATATTTGTGAACGTTTTTGCGTATAATTGTCGGACATTTATTTATAAAGTTTTCACAATGTCTTCTGGTCCGTACAGCTACCAGACAGGAACTTCAAAAACATTCCATTGGGCGGATTACGCTGTTTTTGGTACTACATTAGCTATCTCTGCTTCAATCGGAATATTTTATGCAATCAAAGACAGGAACAAAAACACCACAGAGGAGTATTTACTTGCAGGACGGTCAATGCATCCACTGCCAGTTGCGATGTCATTGCTGTCTAGTTTTATTTCTGCCATTACAATTCTTGGAACGCCAGCGGAAGTGTATGTGTACAGCACAATGTACTGGTGGATCTCGGTGGCATTTATTATCACCGCTATAGGAGCGGCGCATATATTTATCCCGGTCTTTTATAACCTCGGTATCACCAGCGTCTTTGAGGTACGTAGCGTCTTTCTACCGGTATATGAATCTGAACAACACACGCACATTCGCATACACAATGACGTTTTTATAATTATTATTTAAATCGTTATAATTTGTATTTAAATCTTTCTCGAGAATGTATCTTGATTAAGTAAAAAAATTTGTGTGGATAATTTAAGGTTTATATTGGTCATTAATGCGCGTTTTTACAACTCGCATTCCGGTTATATTTGCTGTGAACTTAAGGTATTAGGACCCTAATGGGCACTATCAGGAACTAAAGAAATGACATCATAGGTCCGATGTATACCTTTAAGTACGCCTGTATGCAAAATTTAAACAAAGTTTACCGTACGGAAATCAAGTTATGGCCACTTTTCTGAACTCAAGCTAGGATGTTATGAGGGCCCTTTTTTAGAAATGACGAACCTTTAAATAATCTGCAATAACATTCTAATGAAAAATGTTTTCTCATGAATTTTTGGTAAGAAACAAATTGTACCATTCAGCTAACAATCCACATAAGCAAAATTATGGTTTCTACTTAAAATTTATGAAATCTGTATAAAAATGTTACCCTACCCCACCCATTTTTACCACATGTCTGACCATTTTTCTACTAAGGGAGCCTAATTCAAAAAATTCTTAAAATTTACCCAAATGAGTGCCTGTTTTCAAAGTTTCCCTAATTTTTTTAAAAAGTATATTGGTTGATCTTGTAAAATATGAAATACTTTTACCGTCTAGTTTTGATTATTTTACACTTTGAAAATATCAGGTACCATGTTTATTACTAGATATAGCATTATTTAGCCAATAAATACCTATATAAATTAAAAATTCAAAATTAAACACTTTTTTCTTTCCATATGGGACATGAGAGATACATAAATAATGTTAAAAGAAAAAAAGAAAGAAAAAAAAAAGTTGACCCTTCTGGGGATTGAACCCATGGCCCTCATTTTCAATGTAGTTAAAAGTAATTCTAGCCTATTTGAATACTCTTCAACGCGGAGGTAATGCATTAGGGTGCTAATACCTTAAGATTTAAAGTTACGATACCAATGAACTTTTAATGAGGAAAACTGCCCGAAGCATCACAATACAAATGTGTCTATATTATTTCGATAAGTATTTATTCTATTTCATTTGACAACATGTAGGTCAAAAGTTCGTATGCAGTCTTTCGGTTACGACAGTTTATAAATGTACTATGTCGAACCATTGAAATACAACATACACTTGTACCACCAAAGTGTTCTTTCATTCAAATTTGGGCAGATGATTAGTAATATTTCTTATAAGATATATTTTATGAAATCAGTAAGAATTTCAATATCAACGTAAAGGCCAACCACTTTAGTAATGTCCGAAAGGATATTTACTTCTGAATTCCTTTTAAAGTATAATAACTTTTATAATGTACATATGTATACAGATATGTTACCTAATAAAGCCACACGAACTTGTGACTGAACTTAATGGCTACAAAAGAATAATACCGTGCAAAAATAATACATAATGTGTTTAGCTGAATTACATGGTCATACTTTTCATGAATATACATGTATATCAAATGAATACAAAAATTAAAGTAGAGATACAATATGATATGTGTCTGATAGCTATTATAATTTACCTGTTGTCTGTCACACAAAGGCAGTACTTAGATTTAATGATATACGATACAGTGCAAATAAAGTTTAACTAGAAATGTGTCATCATACCACGAATGCCCCCGCATGCAGCCAAAATTTCAGATGGTGCTTTAATTATTTTTTTCATTTTAAGTTCAAAGCCCTTAAAACTTTTCAATGTTAACACAAACCATTTTCATACAATGTTCAAGGCACTTAAATTATTCAGTCTAAACCTTTTAAAAATAGCATATTGCATATTTGTAGCCAAAATAATGGCTAAAAGTAAGAGTGCTGAAAGTGAAAGTTCAAAATTTTTCCAACATTCAGGAAAGATAAGTTTGTCTTAAATCATTGAACTACAACCAAATTCAAACTTAAACTGCTTATTCCTAAGATGTATCTATATTATTTTCAAAGTGAAAGGGACATAACTCTGCCAAAAAATCATCAAACCATGACCAAATTCCAACTTGACCTGCCCATTCCTTTGACATATCCATATGTCACATTTAAGTTGAATATGTAACACTGTTGGGTAGATAATGAACAGAAACTGTAAATTTCATATTATTTTCAAAGTGAAAGGGGCATTACTCTGCCAAAAATCATTGAACCATGACCAAACTCGAACTTGGCCTGGGCATTCCAAAAACATATCCATATGTCAAATTTGAGTTGAATGTGTTGTACCATTGGGGAGATAATAAACGGAAACTGAAAATTTCATATTACTTTCAAAGTGAAAGGGGCATAACTCTGCCAAAAATCATTGAACCATGACCAAATTTGAACTTGACCTGCACATTCCTTTGACACATCAATATTTCAAGTTTGAGTTGAATGTGTTGTACCATTGGGGAGATAATGAACGGAAACTGAAAATTTCATATTATTTTCAAAGTAAAAGGGGCATAACTCTGCCAAAAATCATCAAACCACGACCAAATTCGAACTTGACCTGTATTTTCTCATGACATATCCATATGTCAAGTTTGAGTTGAATATGTTGTACCGTTGGGGAGATAATGAACGGAAACTGAAAATTTCATATTATTTTCAAAGTAAAAGGGGCATTACTCTGCCAAAAACCATCGAACCATGACTAAATTCGAACTTGACATGTATTTTCTCATGACATATCCATATGTCAAGTTTGAGTTGAATGTGTTGTACCGTTGGGGAGATAATGAACGGAAACTGAAATTTCATATTATTTTCAAAGTAAAAGGGGCATAACTCTGCCAAAAATCATCGAACCATGACCAAATTCGAACTTGACCTGTATTTTCTCATGACATATCCATATGTCAAATTTGAGTTGAATGTGTGCTACCGTTCTTAAGATAATGAACGGAAACTGATGATGACGGAATGACAGAAGGACGGAAGGACGGAAGGACGGAATGACGGAACAGGGTAACACTATATGCCCCGGCAATTACATGGCGGGGGCATAATAAAAAAATATGTTTCTAATGTTTAAGAACCTGATACAACCAATTTGTTGTTGTTGTTTTTTTGTGTTGTTGTTTTTGTACCATTGCAGATGCTTTGTTTTACATATTTTTAACATGTTAAAAATATTGCAAGTTAAATATATAAAGCCATAAATATGATCGAAACAGATTTGTCAAGATGTTCTGTTTTAAAACGATATATTTATACCAGTTTTCTCTTTAATATGCAAACTAAAATATTTATGCTAATTTCATTTGCATTTATTTGCAAAGTATTTTGCGTTCAGCGAAATAATGAAGGGTTTAACCAAGTTACAAGAAGTAAATAGACGCTTTTAAACAAGACTTTTTTTTTATCTCTGGGTCAAAACACTTGTGCGTGTATTTGAAATGCTGCGCGGGATATGTTTGCTTTTCAGAGATTTTATATTTGTAATAGGTTTTATATATACAGTTTTGCCTGTTTATGATCATACCTTGATGTTAAAGAAGGTATTTTAATATATCTAGATAGAGATTTTTTACCAAAAAAAGTGTAGGGAACAAAACTTTCACTGCAATTATTCAATATATCCAAATAATTATATTCCATGAAAGTGTTGTTTTTTTTTTTGTTCAAAATAGAAGACATTTTAAGTAACAGTAGAATTAAGATCGACGCAATAAGTTTTGCCAATCAACGAGTACAGTTTTTTAGATGCATGTAGTTCAGTCATTGAAAACTGGGTCCTATTAAAGTTATTTATAAATTCACATTTACAGAAAAAAAAAACACACAACTCGACAAGAAATGAAATGTCATGTCAATTAAACATATAATGAATAATGATGTTGATAGTGTCATAAAATATTTCAAAATTGAAGTCACTGATGTGAATAAGATTTAGTGACATTTTATAAGTTATTTGCAAGATTTGCATTTTTATTCGCTTTGAATATACCAGACGGTAATTGTGCATCATATTAAACGGTCCGTGAATTCAATTTGTCACACAGTGGTAACATTCCCGGCGTCGAAAGATATGATTTAAATCAAACATCAAACTGCTGACTTCCATCAGAGTAATTTTATCAGCAATCCAATGCATAGCATTTGAAAGATAGCCCTCGGGACTTTGCTGTTTCCGAAAACTTGCTTGTTGCGTATTACTCATATACTTTTCATTCCATATACAAATAAACAATTATTGCCGAATATGACCAATAATGCTTGTATATTTTCAGTATGCCGAGATGCGGTTTGGACGGACTACACGTATTATAGCATGCATCATTTATCTGCTATGGATGGTGAGTTTTTCTACTTTTGCACATGCGTCTTTACCAACCTTTGTGCGAATTTATGCACGTGTGTCTGTTCGTCTGTTTTTTGCTCACCTGAGGACAATGTTCTAAAGGTGAACTTTTGTGATTGTCCATTATCCGTCGTCCATCGTCCGTCCGTCCGTGCGGGAATGTTTCTTGCAAGAAGCTCTACAAAAGTTGTTCAAAGATCTAAATTCCATAAAGAACTCTGGTTGCCATGGCAACCGAAAGATATTTTTTTACAAAAAAAAAACAACTTAAAAATTATTCTTGTTAAAAACTACAAGGCCTATAGCTTTCATATTTGGTATGTAACATCATCTAGTGGTCCTACAAAGAGTGTTCAAATTCTACCCCTAGGGTCAAAGGGGCCCCGCGAGGTGTCACATCGGTTTTATATATAGCTATCTTAAGAAATCTTCTTGTCCAAATCTAGTATATGGCAAAATCTAGTGGTTCTTTACTACAAATATTGTTCAAATTATGCCCATAAAATCAAAAGCGTCATCAATTAAACATTGAGTTATATCGGAAAAAAAACTTTAAACATCTTCTTGTTAAAAATAACAAGGCCTAGAGCTTTGATATTTGGTATAATAACATAATCTAGTGGTCCTCTGTAAAAAAAACTGTTCAAATTATGCCCCTGACATCAAAACGGGTCCCACTAAGGACCTTATTAGTTTTACTTAGAGGTATTTATGAAAATCATAAAAATTCTTCTCTTCAAAATTCACAAGATATTTGATGTGTAAGTCATCTAGTTGTCCTCTATAAAGATTGCTCAAATTATGCTTCTGGATTCCACATTGGCACTTCCCCATAGAGCAGTTGTTTATATAGTAAAAACTTAAACCGAAACCATCAGACCACCTAGAGCTCTGATATTGCATTATTAGCATTTGTGGTGGTTGTGACAGCGTTAAACAAAACAGCCCCAGAAATAATTTACTGTCTGTCTGGATAGCTCATTTGTTCTGGTTTACTTACGGAAAGAGATAACGATGCTCATATATAAGTTCCTTTTTTTCTGGGGTTTAATTTTGTGACGACAGAAATCGTATTTTTATTTCTACCAAAATCAGATATCCTCGTGTTTCGATGCTTTTTCTATTGTACCGCATGTTGTCAGGAGGCCGCCATGAATAATCTCTTCAAAAATAAACCTGTCATAAAACTGGGTCGTATTTTGAAATAAAAAGTCAGTTTCTTTTTGTCAGTTGTATGAAGCCCGTTTAAATGAATACATGCTTTAAGCGATGAGAGTGGCGAACACAACCTTGATAATGGTGGTGGCTGAATTTTAGTGTGAAGAAAGATTTACTTTTAGGTTTGAAAGTTATTTTCATACGTGTATTTCCAATACCCGGGATAGCGAGTCTAATGTATGATGGCTGTATATGATTGGATATGGACTTTTTATTTGTAAAGAGTTTCACGGATTTGCCAAGATATTTCGTTTTAAATTGGTACATATATGTCACCAGTTATAAAGATTATAATCAGGTTACATGGACATAATTATATAAGCGGTTTGCAAATGTAACCCGAGCCACAAGTTGAGGGTAAAATTTCCAAAACAAATTTGAAAAAAAAGTTAATAAAGGATCATATACATGTCATGAATCTGAATAAACGAATTTGAAATACAACAAACTTCCCTGAATGAAGCAATTTTAAAATAATCAATGAATAAGATAAAGATTTACATGATACTTGTGACTTTAATAATATAGGTACACAGTGGCCGCCGACACCTTAACAGGGTCAACATTACATTCAGTACACATCTAGCTCATTTTATTTATTTATTTATTATTTTATTTTATTTGTCATTTTAATGTGAACATACAATCTATTTACAGATGTTCTACATGGCTATAGTGTTGTATGCCCCTTCACTGGCCCTCAATGCAGGTAAATAAATGATAAATACGATATTTTACAGTAATGCAATATCAATGTTTTGCGGTTATAAACATCATTGGCTGTTAAAGGATATCTTTTACATATGTAACAGAAGTTTAAACTTTCATATATACTGTTGTGGAGTATTATTGGATGACGTATATTTTGGTGTATACGTTTGTAAAGCGACACTATCTAACACTTCTTGTTATTATTTATTTGATGTTTACGTTGTAAAAGTACAAAATATATTAAAATCTGAAGGCTGTGAACTCCCGTTGTGAACTGAAGGTTACATGAATTTGCTTCAGATTGTGTGTACCTTGTGTGTTGAAAAACATTGTCACATTCTATCAGTATGTAACAGTTGTAAAAAGTAAAAGTGAATGGCATCGAAACAAATACACATAAATGTTGTAATACAATTTATTATTCTTAGAGAAATAATGTATATTCGATCTTTATATGGTAAAAATAAAAATCTTCTGAAAAAGTACATTCCCTATAAAGATTCGAGTATTAATATCTAGATACAATAATATACATTGAATATTATTTTTGTTTAAGTGACCGGTTTGTCACTGTGGGGATCCGTCCTGGCTGTTAGTCTTGTATGCACCTTTTACACTGCGTTGGTACGTATTTTTCTCATTTTTTATTTAAGTTATTGACATAGGGCTCAAACTTTCTATCAACTCTATAAATTTACATAAGAAATCAGGGAAAAATGTATTTCCGGCTCGAAATTACCTAAATAAGGAATTTGTATGAGCAATAGTGTTGTT